TTTGAAAATGATAACAACGTAAATTTAATGTTTTTATTATTTTATCATTTGTCATTTAGATGAAATAATAACAGAACAATGAAGTTTATACCTCAGTGATACAGTTAAAATAATAATAATAATAATAATTATAATAATAATAATAGATTAATACATCTTTTTTTAAAATGGACCAGAATTATACGAAACCATGGCAACATAATAACATACAATAACACAATCATTTCACATTTACAACAAGGTTACGGTTGTGATTAAGTTTTATGTATGGAAGTAAAAATACCACTTTGTTTACATTTTGCTACTTTTATGACAGCTTCTATTTTCAGGTTATAAGTGTGTTTACATGCTCTACCATATTTCAATGCTATAACCATGTTTGCCCTTTCTAATAAATGAAAATATTATCAATTTGTATGTCATAATGTGCTTTTAAAGTAATTGTTTATCACATCATACGATGCACATCATGATACCACCAAGACTCACAACTGAGCCTTTATGCTTTATTGAGCTAAGCTCAGACGTGCTTTAAAATATAATAATACAAATGTAATATACATCTTTTATGATAAACCCCAAATTCAAGTAACCCCAAAGCAGTAATTGTTTGATTAGACCTATCAAAACGACATGATGCTCAAAAAAGTAAATTTAATGGTTTTATTATTTTACTATTTGTCATGTTAATAATAATAATAATAATAATAATAATAATAATAATAATAATAATAATAGATTAATACATGTTTTTTTGGACCAGAATTATACAGATATATGATATTAATAAGTAGTATTTATAAAGAAAAAAAAGTTATCTGACAGATGTACTTTCACAGGAACTAGAAATCCTATCAATAGTAGCAGTACTGTAAAGTTTGTTTAAAAAATAAATCCCCATATTTTTTATACGGATGGATTTCTTTAATCGGACTTTACAGTAACTGCTATAATTCTGAAGGGGCCTTGCTCTCCATCTAATATATTCACTGATCAGTAACCTAAATATACTCCCCTGTCTCCACTTATGTAGGGCCTGCATCGAATTTCAACTATTTTAGTAATTTATTGATCAGATATTGCACTTAACTGTAACTGTAATTATTGCGTGCAAAATAGGCAATTTTAATGTATTTAAATAAATACTTATACTTTAATTTCTACAATCAAATTTCTAAATGGCATTAGTTTATTACTAGAGTTTAAGACAACAAAACCTGCGAAAAACATGCTTCTTATATAAGCTTTGTATACAATATTTTAATGTCATTAAAATTTACAAACAAAGGTCAAACCAACTATTTTTCACACTTTTGCGCGTCAGATTTATTCTAAAATCTCCCAGTAACTAATAACAATATATCATGAAGTGACAAGAACTGCTCTGTCAGGGCGATAAAAAAGTGATCAAGGTAAGCTGAAACATTAAAACGTATATAAACACACAAAATTAGTATCTTCAGTCATTTACGAACTTGCCATTAAAGAATAACAGTACAATAAATCTAATACTACAACATGGAATCATCATATTCAACCCTACCATTGATGGACGCTGCTGGAAATGATGATTTGTTCGCCAATAAAGCCTTTGATTACGATTATGAAGGTAAGTAATTTTTTTTTTGATAGAGCCTATATAATTAAAATAATTTTTCGATATGATCTCTTTTGAATAAGTTTAGAGTGGACATACACATTTAAATGCATTTCTTACGTGTTTTTCTTTGATATTTAGTTAACGCGTTTACACTGAATATTATTTTAAGTATTATTTTAAATAAGTGGTTTCCATCTCTTCTTTTTCAGATTCCTCGTCGGGCTATGAATCTACAGATATGGAGTCAGTGAGTTCTTGGGGATCACGTGACAGCCTTGACAGTAGATTACAAGACAGTCATAATAACTTCTTACCAATGAACAAAGATGAAGAAATCATGAACTTTAGAAGCACACATTCGCTCTCAGAACACCTGAAACTAATTTTAGCAATGCCCGAGATGTGCGACGTCACGTTTGTTGTTGGACCACGTGAAGTACCAGTGCACGGAGTTCGCGCAATCATGGGTACACGAAGCAGGTAATTTCATTTATGTCGTCTTCTAGGTGGAAAAACTGTTTAGTGATGGTATCCTTTAGTATAGGAAGGAATCTTTTTTATGAAAATGCATTCTAAAACAATATTAAACTACTTGTAGCTATATAATTAAATCGTAAGAAAACTCTAATTGTAATTTCAGTGTAACATTTTTGCCCAGTCGTTAATCCAATACTGAAAAGTAATATAATGAACAACTTGAAGCTCGTCTTGAAATTTTTAATCTTATGTATCCATATATTATTTCAGGGTTATGTATCAACTGATATTAAAGCATATGTCTATGGAAGCTGCTGACAAAGAAAGGAACGCCAAAAGTAACAAGAAGTCAAAGAAAAGCACGTGCAAGGCAGTTGGAATAGGTCGGTCATTATCACAAAGACTTGTTATCCCTGTCAAGAAATATGATTCTGAGGTGTTCCGAATGTTGGTCCAGTTTATTCACTGTGGAATTGTGAATATCACCGAGGAAACAGTTGCTGGTAAATATCTATCTGATACTGATACTTGAATACCAATTGAAATAAATAAATACTGAATAAATAATTGAAATAACAATACTTATACTTGTAATTGCAAAAGTAAAGGGTCAATGGCCATGAAAATTTTGTACCGTTTGCAAAAAGAGCTGCAACTTTACTGAAATACTTCAGATATTTGCATTTGTAATAACATTAATGTTTTTATGAATTTCAGGTTTATTTTGTGCTGCCTCCCATTTTGAGCTACCAGATCTGAGCAAAGCTTGTTTAGATTTTGTTGAGAGATGTATCAAGGTCGGTAGAGCCGAGAAACTGCTCTTTTCTACAAGATGTTACAGCCAGCATAAAGCTTCCAAAACATTATTTGATAGGGTAGGTTCACTTTTAATGAATTTTAAACACTTCTTGTGTGAATTTTAGTCGAGTTTTCTTGTTTTTGCGTTTTAAATTTATAATGATTCACACTTATATAAAACATGTATTTTGTTATTAGATTGTTATTGCATTAATTTCTTTCATTTTCACTTGCGCTTATCATTCTCTATTTTATATTCCAGATTTATTCAGTGTTGGACAAACGATGTGTCGCCAAACTTGACGAAACTCCAGTTTAAACTCATACGTGTTACATTTTGAACTTGTGCTAAATTATTTATTAAATTATTGGCTGCTATTGCTTTTTGTTACAGTATAATTTATTTGTTATGTTTATTGTTGCGAAATAAAAATTCTAAAACAAAATTGATGTTTTCCTTTTTTATTGTGTCTTGTCGAATCATTTGTATGGTAACACATACGAGTCTAAGTCAATAAATTGTTTTTCAACACATCGTATTCTTTAAAGTTTGAGCAAATGTAGCATATCTCAGATTCAGCACTCAACGCACAAATACATGTAAACCATTACAAAGAAATGGTATCTATTCACGACCATTCATTCTATTGAATTGATCAAGGACCAGTTTCTACACCTGCTCTTTACCCATTTTACATGTAAACGTCAACTTTCGATGCACGTGGACAAAGAAAAGTAGAAAGAATGAAATTCTGGCAAACTTGATACTAAACTTTTATCCGTGCAAAGCATTAAAGGACTATTTCTTTGGAAAATTTGATGAATAAAAGAAGTCATTTCTATGGAGTACGTTTACTCACAATTGCTGTCTGTGTTATTGTCAGAGAAATTCAAAATGAAATAGACAAATGGCGTCTTCATACATCATTATAATAATAATATAATAATCTTTATTTCCTCCACATTCATGCCTCCTCGAACTAGATATGAACTTATGGTGTTTCCAGCTTGATGGAATATGCGACGAGGTAACCTTAAACAAGCTGATTCTCGTGAATTCTGCTTAAGCCGGTGCTAGGGGGCGTGGACAGTACCTTGTATTTGCCCCTGTCGTCCATAAAGCAGCTCAGTCAAACAGAGCCCTTTTAATTTTACCGTTTTTAGTGAGTCTGTTACTGTTAGTCTATATTTTATTGAGAATTGATATTACTTAGGTTTTCAAATGGATGTTTACATGCAATCTGATATTGATGAATTAATTGTTATTTACATTTTTCTACTTTTAAGACATACTTTCAAACTTCAAAAGCTCGCAACCGAGACTTATGCGAGCTTAAAAAATATAAAAATTTTGTGATGGGCTTTCTTTAGGGAATCTGTTTTTCTCTTTTGATGTGTAATAAGATTTTCTCATTCTTGCATTAATCCAGTTTCCAATTGGAACATATCGGCTATTATCAATAATAACCTTACTCCAGGGATTTTGTGGGAAAGGGTCGAGAAGATTGCTCAAGCTTCATGATGGATCATAACGTATATTTTGGTACTTTATTATTTGAAAATGATAACAGAAGTAGATGTAATGTTTTATTATTTTATTATTTGTCATTTAGATGAAATAATAACAGAACAATGAAGTTTATACCTCAGTGATACAGTTAAAATAATAATAATAATAATAATAATAATTATAATAATAATAATAATTTTTGTAATGAATTGTATAATACGGTTGTGATTAAGTTTTTTGTATGGAAGTAAAAATACCACTTTGTTTACATTTTGCTACTTTTATGACATACTTTCACATTCAATGCTTATATTTTCAGGTTATATGTGTGTTTACATGCCCTAAACCATATTTCAATGCTATAACCATGTTTGCCCTTTCTAATAAACGAAAATATTATTCATTTGTAGGGCATGATATGCTTATAAAGTAATTGTTCGTCACATATCATACGATGCACATCATGATACCACAAAGGCTCACAATTGAGCCCTTATGCATTAGTGAGCTAAGCTCAGATGAGCTTTAATGTACTACACATCTATTATGATAAACGCGATAATAGAAACCAAGTTTCAAGTAACGCCAAGTTGCATCAAGTCTGTTTGATTAGACCTTTCAAAACGATATGATGCTCAATAAGATTTTCTCATTCAACCATTACTCCAGCTTCCACATTGAAATTTCTCGGCTATTTAATAATAACCTTATCCGAAGTTTGTCGGAAAGGGCCGAAAAGATTGCTCCAGCTTCCTGATGGATCATAATGTATTTTTTGATATTATTTGAAAAACGATAACAACGTAAATTTAATGGTTTTATTTTTTTATTATTTGTCATGTTAATAATAATAATAATAATAATAATAATAATAATAATAATAATAATAATAATAATAATAATAATAATAATAATAATAATTGATTATTACATCTTTTTTAGACCAGAATTATACAGATATATGATATTTATAAGTAGTATTTATAACGAAAAAAAAGATATCCGATGTACTTTCACAGGAACTAGAAATCCCGTCAATAGTAGTAGTACTGTAAAGTTTGTTAGAAAATATATCCCCATACTTTTTTATAGGGATTGGATTCTGTAAATCGGACTTTACATTAACAGCTATAATTCTGAAGGGGCCTTACTCTCCATCTATTATTTTCACTGAGCATACCTACCTGTGTCCACTTATATGTAGGGCCTGCACCGAATTTCAACTATTTTAGTTATTAATTGATCAGATATTGCACAGATATATATTATTAGCCCCATGAATATTGCAACAAATTTAGACTGCATCAGAGACACTATATATACCATATTATCTTAATATATATGTCTTTGGCTGCATGTTGACCGAAACTTTAAAGTGTAATTATTGTGTGCACAATAGGCAATAAAGTAATAAAATTAAATACTTATCCTTTAATTTCTACAATCAAATTTCTAAATGGCATTAGATTCTAACTAGAATTTAAGACAACAAACCTGCGAAAAACATGCTTCTTATATCAGGGTTGTTTACTATATTTTAATGTCATTAAAATTTACAAACAAAAGGTCAAACCAACTATTTTTCACACTTTTGAGCGTCAGATTTGTTCTAAAATCTCCCAGTAACTAATAACAATATATCATGAAGTGACAAGAACTGCTCTGTCAGGGCGATAAAAAAGTGATCAAGGTAAGCTGAAACATTAAAACGTATATAAAAACACAAAATTAGTATCCTCAGTCATTTACAAACTTGCCATTAAATAATAACAGTACAATAGATCTATTACTACAACATGGAATCATCATATTCAACCCTACCATTGATGGACGCTGCTGGAAATGATGATTTGTTCGCTAATAAAGCCTTTGATTACGATTATGAAGGTACGTAATTTTAGTTTTAAAGCGTTTATATAGGATTAAAATTATATTTCGATATGATCTCTTTTGATTAAGTTTAGAGTAGAAATATACATTTAAATGCATATCTTACGTGTTTGTCTGTGATATTTAATTAACGCGTTTACACTGAATTAGTTTAATTATTGTTTTAAATAAGTGGTTTCCATTTCTTTCTTTTTCCAGATTCCTCGTCGGGCTATGAATCTACAGATATGGAGTCAGTGAGTTCTTGGGGATCACGTGACAGCCTTGACAGTAGACTACACGACAGTCATAACAACTTCTTACCGATGAACAAAGATGAAGAAATCATGACTTTAAGAAGCACAACATTCGCTTCAAGACACCTGAAAAACTTTATAGCATGCCCGAGATGTGCGAACGTCACGGTTGTTTTGTTGAACCACTTGAAATACCAGTTGCACCGGAGTTCGCGCAATCATGGTACACTGTAGCAGGTAATTTAATTTTTCTATCGTCTATCTGGGAACTGTCTTAGTGATAGGTATTCCTTCTGGTATCAGGAAGAGATATTATTTTTGTGAAAAATGTTCTAAAACAACTATTAACACATGTATGAAAATTCATATAATTAACATTGTAAAGAAACTCTAATTGTAATTTCAATGTAAACACTTTAATAATGCTTTAATATCAGTTGATACATGTTTCAGATGTTTCTGCATTATGATAACGGAGAACATAATTGTACAAGTACAAGTTAACCACATTTGTACCAATTTTTATTTGCCTTTATTTTATACTTTTTTGTATGGGATGAATTCATGTTGGTACTTGGTAGGGATAACATTTTTGCCTTGCCGTTAATCCAGTATTGAAAAGTAATATAATGAAAGACTTGAAGCTCATCTTAAAATGATTAATATAATGTATCCATTTATCATTTCAGGGTTATGTATCAACTGATATTAAAGCATATGTCTATGGAAGCTGCTGACAAAGAAAGGAACGTCAAAAGTAACAAGAAGTCAAAGAAAAACACTTGCAAGGCAGTTGGAATAGGTCGGTCATTATCCCAAAGACTTATTATCCCTGTCAAGAAATACGATTGTGAGGTGTTCCGAATGTTGGTCCAATTTATTCACTGTGGAATTGTGAATATCACCGAGGAAACAGTTGCTGGTAAATATCTATCTGATACTAATACTTGAATATTAATTGAAATAAATAAATACAATGTATTGAATAAATAAATAAATTATTGAAATAACAATACATATACTTGCAAAAGTAAAGGGTCAATGGCCATGCAAATTTCGTGCAATTTGAAAAAGAGCTGCAACTTTACTAAAACATTTCAGATATTTTGCATTTGTAATAACATTAATGTTTTTATGAATTTCAGGTTTATTTTGTGCTGCCTCCCATTTTGAGCTACCGGATCTGAGCAAAGCTTGTTTAGATTTTGTTGAGAGATGTATCAAGGTCGGTAGAGCTGAGAAACTGCTCTTTTCTACAAGATGTTACAGCCAACATACAGCTTCCAAAGCATTATTTGATAGGGTAGGTTCACTTTTAATGAATTTTAAACACTTCTTGTTCTAACTAGATGAGCAAGACACTTTACACTCATTGTTTGGTACTGATTGGTTCCAGGAACTGATTCTAGTCGAGTTCTGCTTGTTTTTGCGTTTTACATTTATAATGATTCACACCTATATAAAACATGTATTTTTGTTATAAGATTGTTATTGCATTAATTTCTTTCATTTTCACCTCTATTTTATATTCCAGATTTATTCAGTGTTGGACAAACGATGTGTCGCCAAACTTGAAGAACTCCAGTTTAAACTCAGACGTGTTACATTTTGAACTTGTGCTTAATTGATTATTTATTAAATTATTGACTGCTATTGCTTTTTGTTACAGTATAATTTATTTGTTATGTTTATTGTTGCGAAATAAAAATTCTAAAACAAAAATTGAGGTTTTCATTTTTTTTATTGTGTCTTGTCGAATGATTTGTATGGTAACACATACGGGTCTAAGTGAATAAATTGTTTTTCAACACATCTTATTCTTTAAAGCTTGAGCAAATGTAGCATATCTCAGATTCAGCGCAAATACATGTAAACCATTACATGTACAAAGAAATGGTATCTATTCACGACCATTCTATTGAATTGATCAAGGACCACACCTGCTCTTTACCCATTTTACTTGTAAACGTCAACTTTCGATGCACATGGACAAAGAAACAAAGAAAAGTAGAAAGAATGAAATTCTGGCAAACATTTAACTAAACTTTTATCCGTGCAAAGCATTACTAGGACTATTTCTTTGGAAAAATTTGATGAATAAAAAGAAGTCATTTCTATGGAATTCGTTTACTCACAATTGCTGTCTGTGTTATTGTCAGAGAAATTCAAAATAGAATAGACAAATGGCGTCTTTATACATAATAATAATATCTCTATTTCCACCACATTCATGCCTTCTCGAACTAGATATGAACTTATGGTATTTCCAGCATGATGGAACATGCGACGAAATAACCCTAAACAAGCTGATTCTCGCGAATTCCATAGCCGGTGCTAGGGGACATGGACAGTACTTGCCCCTGCCGTTCATAAATCAGCTCAGTCAAACAGAGCCCTTTTAATTTTACCGTTTTTAGTGAGTCTGTTACTGATAGTCTATACTTTATTGAGAATTGAAATTACTTAGTTTTTCAAATGGATGTTTACATGCAATCCGATATTGATGAATTAAATGTTCTAACTAGATGAGCAAGAAACTTTATACTCATTGTTTGGAAGCGATTGGTTCCAGGAACAGTGTTTCAATAAACTGTTTGCTTCTAATACAACTAATGTAAAATACATTCTGTATAAACTAAGTTCACACAATGTGTTTCGTCTATGTAATCTCAGGGTTAGGCCAAAAATAACCATTGTATAATTTATATAATTTTTTATTTTCATTTTTTTTTCAACTCCTTGTGCCCTACAGCTTTTATAGAGGTTCATCATAGGGTCATTCCTAAGAGAAATAAGGAAAGTGGTCAGGAAGAAATGTTGTTTAAAAGCCCACTGTAGTAAATTTGTGAGTTTTTTTGTATGGAAGTCAAAATACCATTTTATTTACATTTTTCTACTTTAATGACATACTTTCAAACTTTAATAGCTCACAACTGAGACTTATGCTTATGTGAGCTAAGCTCAGGTGAGTTTAACAATATAATAATACACATCTTTTAACTTGGTTGTAAATATAAACCAAATTCAAGTCATGTTTGTTTGATTTATACCAATAAGAATTGTTTGTCCATGAACAGACTCAATCAAACCCAGCCTGCAACATTTTCAATTTTGCTGTGTTGGGCTTTCTTTAGGGATTCTGTTTTTCTCTATTGATGTTTAATAGGATTTTCTCATTCTAGCATTACTCCAGTTTCCAATTGAAACATCTCAGCTATTATCAATAATAACCTTATTGGAGGGTTTTTGTGGGAAAGGGCCGAGAAGATTGCTCCAGCTTCCTGATGGATCATAACGTATATTTTGGTACTTATTATTTGAAAATGATAACAAAATTAAATTTATTGTTTTTTTATTATTTTATTATTTGTCATTTAGATGAAATAATAACAGAACAATGAAGTTTATACCTCAGTGATACAGTTAAAATAATAATAATAATAATTATAATAATAATAGATTAATACATCTTTTTTTAAAATGGACCAGAATTATACGAAACCATGGCAACATAATAACATACAATAACACAGTCATTTCACATTTACAACAAGGTTAAAAAGAATAATAATAATATAAGAAATGACATCTGTATAAAAACTGGATTAATTCTACTTGAGGTAAATGTCAGTTTTAAATATGTACTGTTTACTACGAGTTAATAATAAAATTTTAACTGTTCGTTCATACATTCTCAAGTATTTTCATATGAAAACTTGCCATTTACAATTTAATATCATTTTGTAACCATACGCTTGTTGTAATTAGTAAGTAATGTTAAACGGGGTACAAATAAAATGCAGTGTAATAGAACCATTAATAATTATACATTGTAAGCGTTATCAAATCAAAATAATAAAACATGTGAATAAATCATTTTTTTTTTATCTTTATGGTAATAAGATCGACCTGTTGTAAAACAACATTATGTTTCATCAATAACATTTGAAAAATAAAAATATTGTAAATAAAACTAGTGGCATGGTTTAAGGGCTTGTGCTATTCTTCTCTTTGAAGAATCAATGAACAAGCCCAAGTATTTAAATGCATTAAAGCCAGTTTATATTCTACTGGAAGCAATATTTGTAATTTATTACTTAAAATTAATATCAAAACATGTGGCAAGAACGTCTCACCTCTGAGGTATTTTAGGGATAGGGAGTATTCTTAAATTTATCCTGAATAAATTTTATTTCAAAGCATCTACCATGTTTATAGTTTCAGAAAACCATACTGCAAAACAAATCTATAGCAAAAAAAAACAATTATTTTACTTAATCTAAACACAACTAGCTACCCAAAAGCTGCCATTTTTCTTTCCATTTATACAAAGAAATAAAAAATAAAACTTTGTACAGCATGTGCAAAAGAAGATAAATATTATTGGTACATAAAGTGCAATATAGTCCCTGATGAAATTGGCAAAATGTGAAATTATGTCTACCGGTATTTGATCATTATTTCACATTTTTTAAAATACTGTTAAATTTTTACATCTTCTGAGAAGACAAATTCTTGCAAGCTCTTCATGATCAGCAATTTTTTTTTCTCTCGGAAAATGCTTTAGCAAATATGCATAAAGTAAGGGTTACTTCCCTTATTAATGAAATAGATATAATTTCACAATTTGCCATGAATGTGGTGTTATGTACTGAATTATATCGAATTGCAAATATTATCTACAACTTCAAACTTATCACCTTCTATATCTTTTCAGAGATGTATGACAATACATGTATAATGGTTGTAGTGACTAAGGAATGTTTCAGTACATACAACAACAACTACAACAACAACAACAAACAACACCATGTCTATTGAAGCTCTTTAAGTCTTTATACATTGATATATTAATCAATATTATATCCTGCTCCTGTAATAACCTTATCACATAATACTGCCCCCAAAAATGCAGAACATATATTAAACAACATGAACATGCTTTTATTTGACACTTATAAAGTTTCCCCGACAGGTTTCTATCTTTTGAAGAAAAAAGTGATAGTTAAATACAGAAATTTAAATGCAAATCTAAACAGCTACTGTACAGAATCTGCATTTTAACTTTTATCAGCTGAAGTGTTTATTAAAACATATATTTTTATATATTTATGTACGCTAAATGTCATATTGTAGATATTGATGTAAATGGATATTACTTCATTTTTGTATGTTGTTGATTTTCATTTTTGATGAAAATGTATAAAAGTCGAAACTAGAAGAATATGTTGTCTTAATTTTTTACATAAAAAACACATCTGAAATTTTTTATCAGGAAGATGCACTTATCTGTTATGATATTGTTGAGGAAAGTAATTGTACGTCTTTTAACTTATTGAAAGTGTTTACATAAAATATACATTGTAGATGTATTTGTCAATCATAACAACATGATACTAAGCTAATTGCAAGAAAACTTATATCCTCAGTATGAGAATTTGAATAGCACTAGATTGAGTATCCTTAGGACAAATATTTACTGTACAACAAATGTTTCTGTATACGACAATAAAACAATATCATGTTTAAACTGGATTTCTTGACTGAATTTCTATTTACAGAAATTAACAATAATATCCTTTTTAAATAAATGCCTCCAATTATTGCTTGTGATTGGTCCCTTATGTCTCTGGCAGACTCTAGCATTACCATTGGTCAATATATTAGCCATGTGATGTAACAAGTCACATGATTCATCTTCAGATCTTTCATTGGCTGAAAAATAAATAGTGTTTATTTCCTTCAGTTGTAAAACTTAATTTCATTGGTCCCCTGTTCTGTGTAATGTCATCAATAACATGGTCAGACTTTAGTTTCTGGACCCTCGGAATTGCAATGAAAAGATGCCCGTATGTGATCCATGAAATTTGCGCAAATATGTCCGTAAACTTTCTTATACCATTCAGGACTATGCCCCCTAAAAGATAAAATAAACACTAATTACAAAAAATTCCAATGAAAACAAATTACAAAATAATGTTAAAAGTAGCAAGTTCAAATTAGTTCCATCAACATGCTCAGAAAATGCTAACATTCATAACACAATGTTTCTTTTACAATTATACTACAATATATAAATGCAAGAGACAAATAAACAAGAGGGCCATGATGGCCCTGAGGTCGCTCACCTGTATATAGGCCCCCCCAACCCCCAAACGTTGCAGGGCCAATTTAACCAAAGGGCTTTTATTTGCACAAACTTTGTAGACACCCATAAGAAGATGTTTCATGCTAAACCTCTAAGCTCTAGCTCATTGGGCTATTTAAAAGAAGATTTTTTTTAAGTTTTTACTATACACATATAGTTAAAAACAATGACACCCCTGGGGCAGGGCCAGTTATGACCCCAGGGTTTTTATTTGAACAAACTTTGTAGACACTTACTAGAATATGTTTCATGCCTAATATCTAAACTCTAGCTATTTGGGTTTTTTCAAAGAAGATTTTAAGTTTTTGCTATACACATATAAGGAAAATCAATGACCCCTGGGCGGGGCCAATTTTGACCCAAGGTCTTTTATTTGAACAAACTTTGTAGACACTCACTAAAAGATGTTTCATGCTTAATATCTTAACTCTAGCTATTTGGGTTTTTTCAAAGAAGATTTTAAGTTTTTGCTATACACATATAAGGAAAACCAATGACCCCAGGGCTTTTATTTGAACAAACTTGGTAGACACCTATTAGAACATGTTTGATGCTAAATATCTTAACCATAGCTCTTTGAGTTCTTTAAAAGAAGATTTTTTAAGTTTTTACTATATGCATATATAGGGAAGAATCAATGACCCCCGGGGCAGGGTCAATTTTGACCCCAGGGCTTTTATTTGAACAAACTTGGTAGACACTTATTAGAACATGTTTCATGCTAAATATCTTAGCTCTAACTTTTTTGGTTCTTTAAAAGAAGATTTTTAAGTTTTTACTATATGCATATAGGGAAAATCAATTACCCCCTGGGGCGGGGCCAATTTTGACCCCAGGGCTTTTTCTTTGAACAAACTTGGTAGACACCTTTAGAACATGTTTGATGCTCAATATCTTAGCCATAGCTCTTTGAGTTCTTTAAAAGAAGATTTTTTAAGTTTTTTACTATATGCATATAGGGAAAATCAATGACCCCCCGGGGCGGGGCCAATTTTGACCCCAGGGCTTTTATTTGAACAAACTTGGTAGACACTCACTAGAAGATGTTTCATGCCAAATATCTAAGCTCTAGCTCTTATGGTTTTTTAAAAGAAGATATTTAAAGTTTTTTCTTTCGGTTGCCATGGCAACCAGAGTTCTGCATGGAATTAAATTCTTTGAACAATTTTTAAAGGTGACCACCAAAGGAACATTCCTGTGAAGTTTGGATGAAATTGGCCTTGTGGTTTATGAGGAGATGTCATTTAAAGTAAAAGTTTACGGACGACGGACGCCGGACGGACGACGGACGGACGCCGGACGAAAAACGATCACAAAAGCTCACCCTGTCACTTTGTGACAGGTGAGCTAAAAAGAAAAAAAAATTGCTTTATTGAGTTATAAGCCATCGGCTCATACATACGATAAGAACTTCAATACAAATACAAGTTTACAATATGGATATACCATATATGAAAAGTATAAAAAAATCCTCAGTTTCCATACAATTTAAGTGCAAGAACAGTAATGTATAAAACTTGCCTTAAATCAACTCTGCTAATGTGCGTCAGTCTAGATTTCCCTGTTCCACATGGCTCAATGAGATATCTAGAGGCCAACTCTACCGCTCTTATACCTCCAAGAAGGTCTGCGTCTTTGTGATCTATTGATGTGGAAATCAACACACATGCTCCCTTTGGTAGGTCAGTTCTCCATGACCTGTTAATGATAGGAAAATAATTAATATTTATCAAAGTTGCAATGTCTGACTGCAATCAAATACAATGATCTTAATTTCTACAAGTCTACAGATATTTTAAATCAATAAAAGGGATTGTGAGTTGAGGGATGTATTCCTAACTGTTACTGCATTACTGGGTATTTAATGTAGATAGCATCAAATAAATACTAGTAACAGAATTTTTCCACTTTTTAACAATGCACTGCTGTAAAGAAATTTACAAAAAAAAATTCCTTCAATCTCTTGTAAATACTATTTATTTTTAATTTTTCTGTGAATCAGTTTTATTTTGCTTATGGTTTTTTTTTCTTCAAAATTTCATGACTTGTTTTCCAAGATCTAGATTTACTGTGAAGGTTATTTAGAAAAATGCTGACTGTTGACTTATTTTCATATAACATTCGAAGGTGATGACAATACGCTGACCATAATTATACTGCTTACCTAAGAACACAATAATCTCTGGTTGGGTGTGGTGCCATACTGTTACGTACAAACTGAAACACCTCCGTTTGTTGATCCAACTTTTCAACCGTGTTCCATTGCAATAAATCTTCATCCCACTTTTGTCTGTGAAATTCAAGAAGCAAATTATCGATTAGTGAAACAAACATGTGGGAGTGATAAAATAAACCTGGTGTTTTTTTTCTCTCTCTCCTTGTCTCAAGGACATTTAATGTGAACTTTCTAGTGAACTTTGTGAAATACCAATAATTGTATTGATTAGGTGAAAAAGCTCAACAAAAACTTCATTATATATAGTTAATACGTTTATTTTACATCATTAGACATAATCTAAATAATACAAAGCATTAGATGAGTAGCGTTTCATGTTTACCTGAGACAATTATAGAAATAGGATGATTTTTTAAGGCTTATTCAGTATACAGAATGCTTTACTTCATTATCATGGTAGTTAAGTATTTGTAAGGATAAGTACTGTCAAAGTGACAGCATTTTGTTTTTTACAAAAAAAAAACAAAACAACAACCCCAAACAAACACAAGAAAACCATACCTTTCGTTTAAGACCCTATTCAGAACCTCATTGGGCGGGGCTTCAACATCAACTGTACACTTCCAGAGCCTCAGTGGGTGACCATCACCCACTTTCTTGTAGGAAACATCCACATCACTTTGTGCAGAAACTGATACCCAGCCACGGAATTTCTCTCTAGATTCCTGTAATATTCAATCATTGTTGTAGAATAGATAATTAAATGTGATGAAAAATTTGTCTTAGCAGTTTTACATTGAAATCCCTTAGATTTTTAAAAGACATGTAAATAAAGTGGTATTGGTAAGTCACTGTAGTGGACATTATTGTTTTGCGATTGGACACTCAGGGTATAAAGGTATAAAGACTTGTTCAAGCCCTCGATCTAAACCAGAAATTTGAGCAGAATTCCATCACATAAATTCATTATGGTTTAATGCAGTAAAAAGTCTTAAGTAAATATCATTAAAATATACAACATACTGAACTTTGAACTATATGCAAGCAAATGTTTACTGTTGTCAATATTCAAGTCAATATTTCATATTAAAATGAGAAAAGCCAGTAGATAAGTTTACCTTGAGGAGACCTTGAATACAAGACTCAATATGAGCACTGTAACCTTGACTACCATCCTCGGACTGTTTGTTAAGTTCCTCAAGAGTGACGGGATCCTCGTACAATACACGGCACTTACTTAGAGTTACCGCTGGTATCTGTAATGAAAATGTAGTAAAAATATTAACAAAAAGGAAAGTTCTTTTTTAACTTTACTCGCTGTATTTATGTATTCTGCTAAAATACATAAGAAGTCATACAGTATTTAGACATGATGATGAGACACAAATTTTTTTTTGGTATATATTATATTTTAATGTTTAACTATAATTTTGATATTAAGCTTGTCAATTTTAAGAAGTAAGCAAATTAGTACAAAATATGGGACACAGATTTTCAATATGGAAGACAGCAAACTAAAACAGGACTACCATATCTTTCACTTTGCATTGTAAACATATTACTACATGAAGCTAAATAAAACTTACTGTGAACAGTTTTTTGCACTCGTTAACCATGACTGTAAGACACTCATGCGCTGCTTTCTGCTCCATTAATTCACGTGCATCGGGAATACCAGGATTTTTACGGTTTCTTCTCGGACTTGGTGTCTGATTAATACTTCTTGCACCTCCCATGTTGAAGAGTGAGGGAGCAAAACACACAGCCAAATTACTAGCATTCATCTACAATAAGATAAAACACAAAATTTTATTTCATTTCTGAGCATGTATAATATAGTATATCATAAAAGAAAATAAGTTACACAACAGACACAATGAAAAGTTGAAAACTGCACAAAAAACAAATTGGAATGTTCTTATTTTGGTAATTCCAATGCATTTTAAAAGGAATAGTAGACTTTAGCTGTAAATTTTTTAAAATATAATATTGTGTCCCTCTGCAAAGATTACACAAGCATGTGTTGGAAGTACCGGTATAATTTTGTATAATAGTTACATAGGTAAATAATAGGTGTCTAAAATAGAATTGTCCTTGAATATGTTCTGATGGCATGTGTGCACATGGGTTTAACCAGATGCAACAAGCAGGTAAGGGTTTAAGGTATGACACTCTGTTTTCGGTTGTTTTATTCTATAGCAAAGTAAAGAGAAGATATATACCTGGTGTTTGTTGGCAAGTTTAGCTATATCACTAAGGAAGAGCAGTAGGGACTGTAGAACATCTCTGTTCTCATCTGCCATCAAAACTACAGCAGCCTGTAGGGCCTCTACCCTCATCTCTGTTGGTACATCTATCATACAAAAACATAAGTATATTACATAACATTCAACTATTCAAGTAGTAGACAAAAATCACTATCATGTGAAGAACAGCTGGATTACTTGAGGTTAATGGTTCTACTCGGGTGTGCACTTGTGCCTGGTATCTGGCATGGACTGGAATCTGAGGTCTTCCTCCACCAGTTAGGCTTGAAAGTTGCAATATAACCTTAAATTTTTGTTATATTTATTATTGGACTTTCATATAGAGATTGAACTTTCATAAAGAGAAACAATCAAAAGTCGTTTTAAAAAAACAACATGAGGGTTATCATTGAAAAGATTGTTACAGTATTTATCAACTAAATAAAAACTATGATAATAGTCAGTTATAAACACTGGACTTGAGAGGGGAGGGGTGGCCTAGTTGTTGTCTGTCTCTCAACCCTGGGATCATGGGTTCAAGCCCTACTTGGGGTCATGATCATGATTCCTCATATGACACTAGTACTGGTTAGTTCCGGGTAGTAGACCAGAAAGTGTTTTTAATATAAAGTGGCAAGAACTTGTTTCGCAATCGAGCTAAATAGATATGTTTAAACTAACAGTGTACATAGTGCAAGACTTACATATGAAGATTGAAATGAAGATGTCTGAGAGTTTGTTTGTAAGCAGACATTCTGGAAGCTCACGAAAGTATTGCTTCACTAAATCTGCTACGTCATAAGCTTGCAAGTCCTCAAAATCTACCGCTTCTGGAAAGTTGAAAAAAAATGCTTGTTAGATAAATTAACATAATCGCAAACCCATCTAAATACAAGGTATCAGTGCAAATCAATGCATTAGAAAACAAGCAGTGAATTTAAACTCTATAAATCATGAAACTATGTTCTTCAAATTAATACACCTGACATAAAACTGTGATTTTAGAGCCAAGTTATTTCAAGTTAAATAATTCTGCAAGGTTTCATTCTATTTTTATTGTAGACCAATTTATTTCAATAAACAAATGCTGTCAAAAATAACATACCTGGATTTGCCTCAATGTCATTCCGTAATTTCTGGATTCTTGATCGAACACCAGATTTCCGAAATATTCCGAGAGCATCTCCTGCAGTTCGTCGTAAGAATCTCATTGCGTGTAGAATACACTGTGGTAAAGCCTGACCAGTTCGCTGAATCATTACAGAGAACGGGACTGCAAAAACATTTCTGTCTTTATAATCCGGCACTTTGTTCCGTTTCATGAATCTCGGAACTGTTAGCGACCACCCTGAACGATTGGGAGCATATTTCTCTATTAAAGCAGTCAGTTTTAAAAGTGATAATTTTCTAAGCATCAGGATCTGACCAGCAGAAAGATTACACAGTTGTAAGTTACGGCTCTCTGATGTCGGCCGGTGTGATTTCTGGAAACTGTGCCATCGGATTCTGTATTTCCTTCTTTCACTGTAAATAAAGACATTTTTCAAATTAGTTCAGATTTGTAGCTCTGGAAAGACTATGAAAATAAAACAATATGATTCAAATCTCCTAAAAGCAAAAATATTGCAGAAAATAATGGGTTTTTTTAAATATTTTTTTCCTGGCAAAATAATATCGATATTGAATGTGTCAAATCTTCAAATTTTATTTTGTTCTACAAAATACGAAAAAGGTATGAAACTAACAAGACGACACCAGATAGTTTGAGAAAATGATTTAATCCTTATTTTGTCGAATACGTGTATACTAATTTGTCAATTACACTCAACTGCAGTACCAAGTGTTTGAAAGTTAGATATAAGTACTAACCTATTAGTTCTTGTGAGAGATGAGCCGACACCAGAATCTCGGCGTTCTCGTACCACAATATGTTCCGCAGAGTCGTCATGTGACATATCCTCGGTTTGTATTTCGTGATCACTAATATCAGGTGATGATAAAGTTCCGCTGATTACTTCGTTTTCGTCCTGCGGAGTTATATCACCGGGGCTGTCCAAATTTCCCTCATTTTCAGGGTTTTGTGAGTCAATGCTAACACTGGAGTCGTCCAAATAACTGTCAGAGACCGGAGGCTCCAGAATTTCTAAATAAGATAAAATGTGACTCATATTAAATCTTACATTTGGATGATGATACAACATTTGTTTGATAAACAGCTGTTTTTCATTTTTGTATTTTTTTTTTTTTAATTCCAAGAAAACGTAAGTAAACAACTTCTGTGACATACAGCGATTTCAATAAAATAACTCCCTTTGGCATTGTATATCAAACAAGCATGATATCCTTTTCTTTATAACTTTTTGTTTCATTTGAAAGTTTCTCAATATAATATTGTTAACGAACAAAAAAATAGAGAGCAAAATATTGAATATTTTCATCTTGACCATGCATAGATTATCGTGTAAATAAAAGAACAGTTCTGTAAAATTTTAGGGATACAAAAAAGTGGTAAAAAACATTTTTAAAATTTCTTAAATATGCAATTTTATATCTAGTTACTCCCCTTTTATTGCATGCCAACATTATTTACATATTTATCTACCTGCAGTTACTCCCCTTTGACAACATGCCAACATTTACATGTACTCTACTACCTTAAGTTACTTCCCTTGGACATCATGCCAACATTTACAACTAGATGGCATTGGCAGTGTAAAATATCTAGCACACAAATGGTTTATTTGTGATTTTTTAACTAATATTTCTAAACAACATCTAATTATAAAAGCAAGGGAGAAGTCAAGTAATATTTGTCTTTTACATAAATATCACATTAGCCTATTGGCTATGGTTAGATACAAGATAGTTATTAACAAGTAAAGAGTTTTGCAAAAAAAACTACAATTTGCATGCTATCAAAGCACATTGCTCACTGAATCAAATCTTGGAGAATTTTTTCTTAAGTTTTCCTGGCAAAGAAATAAGAAAAGCAAATAAAATGGGTACAACCATTCATATTAAATTTTTTTAAATGATTTAATACTCTACTAATTAACACATTTTAATTTTTGATAATTTTTTTCTCTTCATCATTTTATTTCAAAAGTACAAGTAGTTGATTTACTTTTTTTCTGTAATTCTATATATGTTTTTTGCTGTTGTTTTTTTCAGTCTAATTAGAGTTTACTCTAATTACACTTCAATGCATAGTAATCTTCTCTAAAAACTGAATAACCAGTTAATTTTTTAACTTGATCACCCGTATTTTCAATTTCATACCGTTTTGTTGACTCCTTTTTAAATAGTTTTGTTCAGTGCTTTAACATATTCAAAGTGATTTTTGTGACAGATATTTCTGTCGTACCGTTGAAATGAATAATAATGATTTAAAAAAGTAATAAACAATGTTGACTGACCATTTATATTAAACAAACCCTCATGCAAATAAATAATACTTAAAATTTGAGCTGTACCATAATTGTCCTGTAAATCTATCAAACATTTTTTTTATATAATATTAAGTTAATGTAAAACTTTAGTACATACCTGCATTTTCTCCATTTATTGCTTTGTTAAGTCCATTTATATTTTGGAAAAGTTCCGAAAGAATTATATCTAACTCTTCTTGCGCAGTTGCTAAATCCTCTTCAATAGGAACGTTATCGTAAATACTAATTCTATTCATTTGTTTTCTTGGGTCATGTGACCCTCGTCGATTACGCACAGAGTTTTCCTGTGCACTAACATCGTCAGCGTAACTATAACTTCTAGTTCTAGGATTGCTGTCTCTATTGAAGAGGGAGTCATCTAAAAGAGTTGGAAACTTCCCTGGGCGATATTCGCCTGGAATGAAAAGTGTTTCTTGTGATGAGTTAGAATCACTACAGTGACTGTTTCTACTTCTAACTGACAAGTCTAAACTTAAAGCACCATTTTCAGAAACATGCAACAAGTCTGAACTTTTGTCTGAACTTGAATTTCCAGAAGTAGAATTCAAAGCACTAGAATTGGTTGTGTTCAAAGCACTAGAATTTGCAGTGTTTAATGCACTAGAATTTAAAGAACCGGAACTGTCCGACTTCCTAGGAGGTGTTACCACTGTAAGAGCCTCGTTTCTAGGGGAGGTTATAAGTTCAGGCGATGAAATAGCTACATTTCCTTTAGTATCGCCATTCATAAACACTTCTGACGTTTCAGAAATATTTGAATTTGCATCTACAGGCAAGTTTATATCCCTACAATTTAAATGCTTAATTTTTGCCTGCATATCAGCATTGTCCGTGATCACAGGTCCACTTATTTCTGTAATAGTTTTATTCTTTCTTGACCTTTTCCCTTTTAAACTCTCCATTCTTTTCAGGAAGCTTTTAGCTCCCTTCATTCTTTCACTAGCAGCTCTTCGAATTACCCTGGGACTAACTCCAGTTGTGTTTCCATTTGCATCATATGCAGGCGTAGACGTTTTGAACACCATGTCTTCACTTGTATGAAGCATTTTACTGTCTAGCACAGGACTATCTCCAGTTTCACTACTGCTATTTTGGTCGGCTAACAAACTATCATGACTGGACGCAGATTTCAGAACCGGTTGACCGTTTCGGTTTTCAATAACAGGACAATCTAAGTCTTTACGTGACCAACGTCGACTGCTTCGCTGATATTTCCACTTGTCACTAAGGGCACATAGATCTTCTTCATCAGATTCTTCAGCCTGAGAATAGATATATAATGTATATAAATTATGAGATTTCACACAATGCAATACTGTTGTATTCAATTTAATATGAAGTGTTTCAAATAATGTTTTAGTAGAATTTTGAAAACTGAAATAGCCAAATTCTACATCAGAGCCAGTACAGGAATACTTATTATCAGTACTCCACAGGCAACTATAAAGTTCTCCACATGCCTAAGCCTTGAAAAAATTACTGAAAATCAAGTTCTCTCAACAGTGCAAGAAGTTCAATCCACTCTTATTAACATGTCCTAACAATGAAAACATTAAAAGTTCATATATCAATTTCTTCTGTTACATTAAGTTTTATATTGACCTTCAATACCTCCATAACAAACAACATAGTGAGCCAGCAAGCGAAAAACAAACAGATAAATAAAGTAAAGTTATATGCTATGATATCTATAATTATAGAACTATTGATATTTCATTGTGTTTGAAACACTGCCCAAGTTTGAGATGTTAATTATAACTGAAATACCCCCATGAGAAAACAAATACTGCAGCAAGCAAGTGTAAATACTGCATTATTGATAAATACTGCACACTTTGTATTGCATTCTAGACATTTCTAAATTTGCCTACATATCTAAAACCTGTTTCCTGTCAAAATCAATTCCTATATCACCTCTATAGTTAAACTCCTGCAGTTGAAATAGCACACTACTATTTTATTCTATTCTTATATGTCCGTGCCTTTTTATGTAGATTCCAATTATATATTAATGTCCAATAACAATTTTATTCTCCTACACTCCCTAATAGACCCCTCCCGTGAAACAATAAAATAATCATGTATAATTGAGAGCAACGGATACAAAATATTGATGATTTTACAAAACAATGATTATAGTAATGCTCATTCAGATGGCAGTAAATCTAAACATTTATCAGTAATTTTTGAAGAGAAAAAAAACAACAACAAACCCTAGCAGACATACATTACATAGACACTTACTCAAGTCAAATTACAGTAACAAAAACTGAATGTAACAAAGTTATTATATCCCGGCTTATTAACAGTTTGTACAGTAGATCAAACAAAACTATGATAAATAAAAGATTAAGACCTACTTGATACTTTCCAATCAATTTCATTTCTTATCTAATCAAACAAAGAAGGGTAAAAATATTAATCAGTTATAATCCTATATTTCTGCATTACAGCTTTATTATTACCACCTCTTGTACTTAATCCATTTTAACTTTAATTTTGTTATCAAATATCGTTTCTTAATCACTACTAAGCCTAGTGACTTCTCAGTATGTACACTGGGTGTCCATGCTACAAACCCCTTCACGAAAAAAGAACTAAAGCCAATTTATTCCTGTTGAATTGATAAACCGATAAAATTGTTGGTACATGTATCTTGTAAATTTAGTTTATGACAGATAACAAATTCTGTTGTAATCAACTACAAAGATAAATCAAAATATTAAACAGTTCTATCAGTATAATTTATCTAAAACAGCTGCCCTTTTTTACACACATATTATTGGATGGCAAACAAGGCCGAAGTAATATTCTTTAAATTTTCTGATAAGACAATAAATATAAATTAAATACAAATCAGCCCATCCCAACTGAAGTTCTGGTTTTTATTCTGTATTCTTTTCTAGGAGTCTTGCATCATAGATATTCTCTGTATTGCTTTTATGAACCAATTAGGCAGTAGATGCCAGCCAATTAATTTGTCTTTTCTTCTTAATTTAATGCTATTTTTATTGCATATATACTTATATATTCTTTACAGACTTTTATCATAGCAAAAAATTCTGAAAAACTGATTTTTAGAAATACCAATTTTTTTTTTTAAAAAATTCACAATTGAAAATATTACATGGTAACTTCATCAAAATCAAGTTGTAAAGCAGATAGGTTTTTTTTTGACAAAAAAAATAAATAAAAATTGTTAATTAATTTTTTCATCTTGAAAAATAAAAAAATTGAATACCAATGAAATAAAAAAAAAAAGTAGAATGCAAAACAATTATTTCTACATTTAGATAAATGAAGGTTAACATTGTGTCTGTCATGATGACAATTGCTACAAATTGCTGAAATAATCCTTGACAATATAGCATACCAATGTGCCAACGTTTTATCAAGCCATGATCAGTGTATATAAGTTATACTGGCAGTAACAACTCACTGTCTAAAATTGCCAAAATCTTGTTATAGCAGACATTGCCAGAGTAACAAGTGTCAAGTTAATATATCATCACTTATATATCCTCGAATAAACTTGCTATTTTACTGCTATAGATGTCAAAAATTGATACATCATATGACTTATACACATTACCTTGCTATTATACTGCTATGGATGTCAAAATCAATACATGATAATGAGTTTGAAAACCAATATGCTTTGACAGGAATCTGACAGCCTTGATCTGGCAGTCTGATCCAGGATCCACTCCTCCCCCTTTACAAGTAGAGAAACTAATAGCGAACAGCATGGATCGTGATCAGACTGTGCAGATGCTCAGGCTGGTCTGGATCAATGTTGGTGGCAAACGCACTACTATGTTGCTTTTGTCATGACGCGGCTCATATGATTTAATATATTTTCTGATTGGAATCTTTTGTAATTGTATGTTGAATAAGGTAACAAATGATCCCCCCTCCCCCGCCCCTTAAAATGTTCCTCACAAATAGGACAGTACTCTAGTTAAATATACTGATATCTGCTAAAGATAAGGAATTCTGATAAAACTGCTGACAATTATTCTTTTTTAAAGACCGGAAAATCATGAAGGTTTATAATCTATCATCTTGTTTATAAACTATAACAGTATTTCATGATGTTAAACAGCATCAGCTGTGTCAAATTTTATAGCTGTTTTAACCTTGCTGACTGGCCAACAACACATTTATATACTCATGTAACTGCTAAACTCATAGCTACTTCATTTTCCGCATTTTAATATCAAATTCCTAATATCACCATTGGGACAGTTGAAATTTTTAAATAAAGACCAGTTGAAAATACAAATTTAGCATATATACGATTAAATTAAGAGACTTAAATTTAACGTAATCATTTTTAATTGTCAAGATTTTTTTTTGTACATTTGCCAATTAATAAAGATTAGGACCAAATTAAGAATGGGTAGTGCTTTTCATTCAATGTAGACATTAATCCAACATGTAGTATTATAAAGTAGACATATTTAAAATGAAAGATAGTCATTGAAAATAGAATTACAATGTACGATTTAGTAAAATAAATATACTATTATAAAAGCTTACCTCTTTTTTGGTAGGGGTACCTATTTTCATTATTGCACATTTGTTCAAAGTGTTGAGCCGCCTGAAAAGAGACAAAATTAATACAAATTATTATAATATGCCCCTCATTCCTTCCTACAGATAAACTATCTTTATAATGTTTCAATACGTGTAAACATACAATAATCATGAAAATTGTCATCCACTATATTTACAAAAACAGTCCTACGAGTTACGCAAGTACCTTTATTCTAGACGGCACCCTCCAGGAAATAATGTAAAAAAAAAAATGTCATTAAAACTTGACATTTCTATGATTTTCATTCCACAGAATAAATCTCCCAAGTTCAAGGCCTGTGTGGGATAAATCCTCTTTTATAATTATAAACCGCTTACAAAGCATAAATGACATTTTTTATTACTTCAAAGACATCGCAGTGAGAACCATAATAGCATGAAATCAATTCATTTTGTTTTCCAAGCACGATATGAACTTAAGTCTATTAGAGAAATTAGGTTATATTATATAGACTTACACACATTATAAAAGATGATATGGCCAGCCCACCTACTGCTACCCACAATTTTTAAAGCAAATTATATGTGACATAAAAAACATTTTGTCCTTTCTAGAATTGATATGTGCCCACTAGTTCAGATCCTATGAAATGTCAAAGCATATTAAAGAACTTCATTTCCATAATTCGGCTTTTAGTGCAATGTCAAAAAAGATTTTTCACAACCCACTGTCAATTTAGCAACTAGAAAAACAAAATACAATCACTGAAGTTACTTTGTAATTTGATTGGAAATAACAGATTTTTTTTTTTTCAAAAACAGTATCATATTTGCATGACATTTATTTATTATTTAAAGACTGATTTTCATAAATTTTCCTACCATATTGGGTCTGTGTCACACAACAACATTTTGATGCATTTTCACTTCAGCAAACAGTCTATAACGACCAGTTTTCAAATTCCAAATTCAATCGCTTTAAACATTAACTTGTTGTCCGAAATAATATCACTAACTAAATACCATCAGACAGCATATAATGGTCACTTAAATCCCTTTGGAACAGATGTCCACTTATCTTCCTTATACATGTACTTAAATCTTTTTTTCACGCTGATGTTTGTGCAAATCCCAAACTAATAACACAACAGTCTGCCTGAATTTTGTCATTTAAATACTTAGGCTTCAACAAGAAGCTGGCCTATTTTGAAGAAATCCCGTGTTTTTCAGCCTATTTATTGTATACTATCCTTTATAACAAAATATCCAGTTATCCATGGTTACTCATAGCCCTTGATTTGGTCAGCAACCCGTAATAATTACTTTAAAAACCACAATCACACACCTTTTTGCCTTATTTGCTGTCCGATTTTGACAGGCTTCTAGCTGTTATCTACCCCAAGACATTACAATGTAACTCTATAGCCTAATAAAAATTTGCAGAAACCTTATAAAGTTCCCTTTGAATGTACATTCAAAATAAATGACCGATGTGTAGCTCTTTGTGGTCAAATGTTTAACACTCTTTACACTCGTCTGAATCGTGAATGACTTCTGGGGAAGCAAATTGACGTCATTGGACCTGATAGCACATTGTTATCTTACAATTTGTCTATATTTAAACTTACTGTACTGATACTAAGGTCTCACTTGTTACAAAAAAAATTGATAAAGAAATCGAATGAAGTTAAATAGTATCGTAGAATTAATCTTAATTTAAAAGGCTGTTTTATCGACAGTGTGAAGTGTTTCTAAAAATGGAAGCATTAATTCTCTGCATTTGAAAGATGAAAAGAAACTGTATAATTGTAACAAGTTTGAAAATTAAGAAGACTTATTACTTTAAACCATGTTTTAATATCTAAGGTATTAACCTGTTTACAAATTGTGATAAAAGCCATACCTCACAAATACCAAGTCAATGTTGTTATTTTCCTCAAATATAAAATCCTTCAGAAAATTTCTTTTCACCACTTTTTCCCTCATTTTTTTCTGTCTTACAAAGTACATGTTTTGAAGTACAATTAAGAAATGATAAGCTCTTAGTACTAAACAGAAAGGTTACTGTCATTATGTAGTCACTTTTTTAATTACTTCAGTTCATTGTCTTCATTTAACACATCCTAAGACAAAGTGAAAATGGCAAAAAGAGCCATTTCCTCTACTTAAGAACAAAGATTTTTATGATAAAAACACTTTCAAAGATAAAGATCTTTTTTTTAATGGAGCCATTAACCCTACCCCATAGAGAAATTTGACAAAGTGATGAACAAAACAGAACATATTCTTGTTACATGCTGTCACAAAACCTTTAAATTTTTACAATCAAGCATACCCTCAGGGGAAGCAACTCTTACTTCTCCTATAAGTTATTGACATGTGGACAACAATGGAGCCCACTTGGGTCAGTAAAATAATTAGCTAATAAAGCAGGACATAAAAATTGAAGTCATATAATTTACTGCCATCAATTACCTGCTTGTTTGAGTAATTGTTAGGTAATAATATAACAAAACCTTAATTAAGTTAGAAAGTTTATTGACCAGGGTAGGTGTCAAAGTAGGCAGTGCAGCAAATTCCACAAATTGCCCATAAAATGGCATTAAATATATTGACTGTTAGCAGGAAAATTTTACAATTTTTAAATCTGAACATTAACGTAGGTGTTTTATTATGTACAGGTATAATTATTTGAAAAATTCTCTTGACTACATGTAGAGATGAAGATTCTTGGGTTTTTATGAAGAGTCTATCAAGCTACTTTTACAACAAAATGACACAGTAGGAAATCATTGAAAGCTGTTGCCATGTTCAAATTTCAGTAAATGTAGCAAAAGTGACTTTATAAGGGCAAAAAGGTCAAACTGGTGGAAAAGGTGTTTAGGGGAAAAAAAGACAACATACATGTATGCATATTGGTCTTCTTGCTGGACTTCCTTTATGTTACAACAACAAATATTAAATTTTTTTATTTATCTTCACAAATAAATCAGACAACTTTCATATAATTTTACTTTGATTCTTATAATGAAAATGATATCAAGTAATTCAGCCAGTAAACCAGACTGGACCACCCATTTAAAAAATCTAGACTAGTTCTCAAATATTTGTGTTCAGGAAATTTCATTTTTTGTCACATCCTGTCAATCACATGTCCAGCTGCCTATCTATCTCTGCCAGATCTACACAGACATGGTGGACAACATGTCCTCAGTCCAAATCTTCATGTCACATTTTGATAAGAATGTCTCTTTAATAAGTGTTCAAATCTTGGGTAAAACAAATACAAACTAGATCTACTTTGTTGTTGTTTTTTTTTCTTTGTAAGAAAAATATGATAACACATTGACTATCAAAGTTCAGCTAAGTAAATCAAAACTTCAAAGACATGAAATAATGCTTTATCTTAATGTAAATGTTTTTAATCTGTCATATCTTAAAGCCATATCTTCAAAATATTACTTTAATTTAAAGCATCAACTTAAAAAGAATTTCTGTTTTTCTTATTGGACTTTTAATATACATACATAGTCAATATTAAACAAGTAAAAGCTAGTCTTTGATAACAAAATTGACTAAAATCAACATAAGTACATCCTTCTTGAAAATAATTTTGTCAATAGACAAAAATCCAGAAACTGTGGCCAAGTATATTCATACGGGAAATATGATACTAAATATGTCCAAGAAATATGTTTTAAAGCATAAAAAAAAGAGAGAAAAAAAACCTGAGGGAAGAGAAAGTTGTTGTTCATTTTTATCATGATATCACTGAATAATTATCACATCTTATTATACACGACAAACATGTCTTTACCATCAATAACAAAGTAACGCTCCCCTGTAACATACTGTAATTATTTACTACTATATTTAGCATCATTTTTCCAATCTATTACAGCCAATAGATTATCCCCTGGTTTATTTATAGAAAAACAATTGATGCTCGTGCTGAATTTTGATGACAATCATTTAGGACAACGTAAACATCATGGCACAATAACAAAATTAAAAGTATCAGTAAGTAAATATCATTCTCTGAAAGATTTGTGACATTCAATACCAGGAAATTCTTTCTAGCTCATTACTATTTGTAGGTTCTATCAATACTTCTACTTCTACTTCTATGATGAACTCATCTGTAAATCCGCTGTGCAGACATCAGCGACGAGTGGTGATGTGAATTGTGCTCCATAAAACATGGGCTAAAAACCTGTCCCCCATGTGCGGCACCAATAGCAACAGACAAAAGTCAACGGTCAAAAAGTTTTTACATTCTGCTATGATTATGCTAATTACAGAAATGTGTCGGGTAGGGGTGAAAATTTATCAAAGTTATATATCAAATTGCTGATACAAAATCTGGAATCTCCTTCCATAGAAATCAAAAATTTATATTTATTTGTTTTTTATTTTTCAATAACTGGACATTTGACATAAAATTACAAAGTTCATTTTGTAGGATATATTTACATAATTACTAAAATGTCAAATGTTTATCTTGCTCCTGCCATTTGAAACAGAGGACTTTATTTTTTTAGACCATGTAACATTGTTATTATTGTCCACACAACACCTACATCTCTAGAATTATTTCAGACTGACTGATATTTCTCAGAACCTATGAACCTACGCATGCCAAAAGCCAATGAACATTCATAATGCTGTATTAGCTAACCTTCATGAAAAATAATTCTGCCAGTAGAATTATGCTGAGGTAATCACGTAGGTTATTAAGCAACATGCAAGCTTTCCTTAACAGAATTGTAACTACGTGACAATAAGCTCTACATGATTTTTTATTTTAAGGATATTTCTGTTGCATATGCGCATCATTCCACCTTAGATTAAAAAATTTCTGATGAAATATTCATTATCGAACGGGGGTCTTTTTGTGACAGATTGAAGACTTGTAAAATGAGTCATGTCACGACAAAACCAGCATAGTGCGTTTGCGACCAGCATGGATCCAGACCAGCCTGCGCATTCGCGCAGTCTGATCAGGATCTTTGCTGTTCGCTATCAGTTTCTGTACTTGTAATAGGGTTTGTAAGCGAACAGCATGGATCCTGTTCCATGCTGGTCGCAAACCCATTATGTTGGTTTTGTTGTGACACTGCTCAAATACTTTTATTGAATAATTTCTACTATGTAGATCATCATATTTATCATCATTATCATCATCATTGAAAATTTTGGAAATGAAAATTAGAAACAAATGTAAAGCGAGCACATTTTACTGTGATTTAATTGCGACATGAACTTTATTATACTGTCAGTTCATTAAATGTCACATATTGTCCAGCGTGACTGAACATTTAAGTGGTCGTTTATATTCTGGATCATGTTTAACAAGAGCGAATGACAGGATGGTAATCTAAAATGATCAGAACGGAAGCTGATACAGCCCATGTCAATGGACGTGACACAAAAATAGTTTTAAACATTACGAATAACAGTCGACTACGGAGGTCCTGTCCTATAGTTAAACTTCATGACCTCTATTATAGATCTTAAGATATTCGACAACCTTACTTTTTTTTCTTGTGTACAGTGCTCCAAATTTTAATGAAAAATCTGATAAACATTTGATGTTTAAAAAAGGCCGAAAAAATTCATCCATTTGAAACATGTTTAGATAAATTATCTGAATACAAAAGAGATGATGAAATCTAGTATTACCTCTTTACAAATTCCTTAATTGAAAGCCACATCTGGGATGAAATAAATATCCTTTAAGTCCAACAACAAAACAATTACTACATTTTACTTACAAAGAACAAAAATCCTGTATCTAAGTAACTGAACAACCTTTGAAGAAATAACCATGCTTTTTATATAGGCTCAATAAAAACAGTATAAACAAAGGGAAATTAATCATTACAAATTATTCGACTGATTAGATATATGTAAAAAAACTTAACAAATTTCATTAACATTGTAATCGGATCCTATATAGATCAAAGGGAATTGTTAATTTTTCCATTATATAGGGTTTCTTTTCTTTTGTTTCATGATTAATAATGAATAGGTAACGAAGTAAGTGGATACTAAATGTATCTTATTATTTTCTCGTTTTGTTTTTACTTATATACCATGGTGTCAAACTGACCCATAATAAAAATATATCATATAACATATTACACACTTAAGTCATAAAAAACATTGTTTATTTCTTTATAGTGCTACTTATAATACTGCAAGTTTGTAACAGCGCTTTTCATTGGATGATTATGACGTTTATAAAAACTATATATAAACCGCTCCTCTAATTTAAAGAGGCAATTTCATTTTTTTCTCAATTAAAGGAGGTTTGTTGTACTATATTAATTCATAATAAAGATTATATGGAAGTATACATATGGATATTTGCAATATATACAAACAACCATTCATATAGGACCATATAACCTGTCAAATGTATTTTGTAACGATACCCCAGTTGTGTAACAATGGGCAATGTAATGACGACCTCATAAGAACTATTCTTATCATCTAAGTGTCAACTTCATCATATCAAACACAAGTAATAGAAAGAGCACCGAAACACGAGGCTATCTGATTTGTACGAGGGGGCGTAGCCCCCGAGTATTAATCAGATTGCCGAGTGTTTTGGTGTTCTTTCTCTTTTGTATCATAGTCAAACATAAAAGCACGTTCCCTGTTGTCACAATATGAAACCCCGGCAAAAATGAACCAATGAACGAACATCTGAATATGACATTTCTGACGCTTTCCCTTTCTCTGCCGTCACAATATGTAAACCCCAGCAAAAATGAAACCAATCCATGGGCATGCTCTGGAGTGCGGGTAACTAATACCCGCACTCCAGTTAACGCACTGTGCATGTATATGTATACGATTTAACCCTGACATATTTCAACAGAAAGTGGTCTCCAAACTATGATACAACAAGGTACCATATAGAACATAGAACAATTTCAATTTAGTGATGTAGAGGAGAATTAAATGAAATTATGTGTGCAAAACCTATAACCTGGAGGACAATAGACCTAAATGCTTCCATTATTGAGCTTTAATTTTACACACTGTTAAAAATTTAACCTGTGTTCCCAGTATAACATGTTTATTGACACAGAATTAAAAGAAATTAGATCAGAAAATAGTTACAATAGGAACATAATAAAGGCCGTCAAAAAAATACAATGTTGACAAAATTTGTTTCTTCGGACAGCTTGAAGTTTATTCAAAAGCGAAAGTCCATTTCCCTCAGCCCCAGAACGCATAACTTTAAATGTAATATGGTAATTATTAAAATTTTGAAAGTACATTTTTTGTAAAAAATGAATATACCCATTGTAAACTTTTGATTTACCAAAGAAAGAATCAGCCAAAACTTTATTGCTGAGTAAAAGAGGTAAAAAAAACCTCAATAGGGTTTACCTGAATAACGACTGAATATCCTCTTTATCAAGGAAATCATGGTCCCTTTCTACAGAATCTATGTCCAATGGAAACTGTCCATCTGAAAATAGACAAAATATAAGCATATTTAAAATAAGTAAGTTTTATTGACAAGGAATATGAAATATAACATATATATTGTATGAAAAAGTCCAAACATGCAATGATGCCACAAATGTTATTAAACAGAGATGGTTTTTATGTTATTTTTCAAGAATAACACAACTTACCAACAGTACATCTAAATTTAAATGATGTCAAGGCAAATTTTTTTTAATCATTTTAATCATCATAAACATTTTATTACCCAGACATCTAAATGCTACTAAGTTACAAATCGTACTAAAACATATTACTAGTAATATTTCTGTTTTTATAGCTTCCGAGAACCATGCCTTGACAACAACAACACGCAATTTCACCGTCAATGGCCGTAGATATACCATCAGAGATGACGTAAGACTATGAGGGAATGCCGTTCTTCTGAGAAAACATATTTATATGACAGAAGGTCTATTATTGTATAAAAGCAGCTGATAATTGCACGAACTATACTTATATAGTATACAGCACATGACTAAGTGATACATGAATGAACAAAAATGGAAAAGAATTCACGTCATATTCTGTAACAAATTGCCATTTTTCACTTTAGTGTTAGGATGGGAAATAGTCTTTGATTCATTCACAAAACATAAACAAGTAAGTTGAAGCCTTTTGTCGCACCTTGCGCCTAAGTCAAGTCTGACTTTCCTTTTGTTTATAATAGAGTAACAATTGATTCACAGACAAAAAAAAATGTAATTAATTAACTAATTTAAAAACAGTCATTCTAAGAAAATTTATTCACAAACCTTTGAAATATTTCTGCGACCATAAAAAGAGCAAAATTTCCACAACTTTGTCTGAATTCACCATCATAAGAACACTAGAAATCGTCATGATTCAAATTATTCTCGTTATCAAGCAAAATGATTAAAATTATTATCACTGATTTAATTCAGCATTTTCTGTGCACTACGACTACAAGGTTAATTGCAAAGTGTGACTTTGAAATAATAGTTGTACAATCCTCCGCATGTGCATGATTACGTACATGTTTGTACATAATTACGTAGGTTTGGACAACTGAATGATGGCCGTAGTAAGGTGGTATAATATTTCATCGCTGGACACTGACAGATATGACCTACAAACATTTATTAATGTTTTCATTTCATATTTTATTTCCTTGAAAATATGACAAATCATTTGACTGGAATAAAAAAACTTTTTTCCTGCCTCTTCCTTTAGAAATAAAAAGAACATGGCAATTTATATTTTTTTAATTATAATTAGAATAAGCTGAATCCATAATTGATTAATTAAGTGGACACTTAGCAGAGTTTATTCAGTGCATGTGTCATAATTTCTAAATATAGTATCGCTAATTATTAAGCCTTGTTACGCACTGATTGACAGTTTTATTGTCTGGAAATGACATGAGTAGGTTTCATTGTGATGAGGTAAATAATTCAATATTATTTTAGGTGTTGGTTATGACCTCTATATGTGTGGCTTTAATCAAAACAATGTCCGAGGAAACAAAACAACCAATGATGTAAGTGGTGGAAATGATTTATAATTTGTAAACAATAATGATGAGGATGCGGTGAGAAGAATCAATTAAAACTGTCGAACCTGTTTGATCCTTATAACCCCGGCAAAAACATAAGCTATTAAAATAAGACAAATGGATTAAAGTTTCACAAGTGTTTTTTTATTATTGTTATTTTTTTTTTTTTTAATCTGGGATAGATTGCAGTCAAAAAGAGAATGAGATGTTTCAAGTCTATTTTAAGTCACATAACCATGACTCTTTCATATCTAAAACTAAGAAAATATCCATTTCAAGAAAAAGTAGAGAGGCAAGTTTTGTTTTTTAATGTCATCAACTGTTTCTGTGCAATGGACAGCTTTCCACCCGGTAATATAACCAATTTCCACAGACAAAAGAAATCTGCCTATATTTCGGTCAGACAGTAAAAGCTAATGATGCAACTATGATATCAATACAGTATAACTTTGATCACCTAATCATGTGTTTATTTTGATCACGTTTTGATGTCCCAAGTCTATATTTAATGCTAACCCACCAATATCTTACGTCAATACGTCTGTATTTTATAATCGTCAAGAGAATTGTTGACTTCTTAACATCTCCAGAGTCTCTATTTGGTACTATATTAAGACATTTTGGAGTCATACTTTGTACCAGAAAGTCATTAAGTTATTCCCAGTCAGGTATTAATAATCGGTCATGATATAAAATTGGTATTTCTGCAAAATATAGTTATTATTTTATTTGTTCTTTCGAAAGCAGCGGCATAATTATCTTCACTCATCCCTAAATCATGATCGATATTGCTGCATTCAGGTTCTGTCATTTTTTCTATTTTTATTTTTTCTATAATATTTTTTCCATTTCTTTTCTTGTCAGGCTTTATTTTGTCTCAACAACACTGCAAAGGTCAGATGGCCACCTTCCAGGTTGTTACTAGTTGAAGAAGAACCTAATTTAGTGGGGCACTAAATTGTGCATTATTTTAAGTAGGAGCAGACTGTGACCTAAGGAGTAACAATAAAAAATCTTGGATAAAGCAGTTAAAGAGAGTGGCAACTTACTCAAGTTGAGCCACTTAAACCACTCAGCCACAGACAGGCGTCCCTGAGGCTTTGTAACAATAGAAGCTTCTTACGCAACAATAATTTTCTCATACCTTTTACTGCTCTTGTTCAACATCATAACCTATAAAACCAGGTACCAGTTTCATGCCTGGGTACCAGACCTAAACTTTCCTTTGTTTTTATCCAAAGAGCAGCTGGCAGAGATTTTGAATGAGTAATAAACAAACAGTTACCCAGATCTAGTAATTTATGCGGAGGCAATTTTGTCACAATTGTGTGACAGTCATTTAGTCATAATATATTAATCATACACATCCCTCCTTCAGTAACTTTATACTTCCCTTGTCTCCTTGGCCATAAAACTAGGCTTTACCCATCTGTCTATATGAGTCAAACAAAATAATCTCCCCCCTTTAGCTATAGTTTTCTATTATCTTAATATGAAGAAGCTTAAAGAGTTGTCAAGACATAAAGAAAATACTAATCATTTATTTAAAACTCATGGTTTCAAAGGTACACACAAGTTCATGGGAAATCTACATGTATATAGGTTGAAATCAAAGATTATACATATCACCTAAGTGTATGATGAACAATAAATTAAAGGACTGAAAGGTCATGAACCTATTCCTTTTATAATCTGTCAACATCTGTTGCTATTAAACCTATTATAAGACATTGTGTGTGTGGGAGTCTAGAACAAATAGGATGTACATAATCTTTAAACCATTATTGTATTTCTTCTGTCTTATTTGATATCACAAATATACTATCCTATCATAAAAACAACAACTACATGTAGTACATTATGTAAGATTTTAAGATAGTCATGCCAAAAGGTAAAAATACCCATCTATGCCAATTATTTTTCTTATAGAACAACACTTTTTATTTAAATTAAGTTTTGACTCATCTTTAAACAGTAAAAGTAAAGTCTTTGTACAGGAATCACAGTCCCCTTTTGTCATGTAAGTATATACATGTATTTCTGTGACAAATTTGAACATCATGTTTGTATATATATATATAAGTATTGACCTGTCTCTGAACTTTGCCTGACATGGCTATCATACATACAATCCACTTTAAAACCTCATATTTTACATCTTTTAATACAAATGCCAAAATGCATTATCTTGTAAAATTGTATGGTAATAGTGTGTTTCCCCCTCTGTTACATCGCATGACTGACGCATGAACAATGTTCTACAGTTTTAATGGAGAGTGTGACCTGATGGTGTGGGGGTGATGTATCAATAACACCCACTAGTCTACATAGATAAATTAACTAAATGTCTAAACTTCTCAAATAACTGACAGTGTCACAAGTTGTTTTAAAACAAAACCTGTGGTCAAGCGGTCACTCACAAGGTGATATGAAATGCCCACATTAAATCTTTACTGAGATCTGTAACAGAAATAAAACAATGCTCCAAATGGTTTAATCCAAAATTATCTTTTCAATCCTTCAAAAAGTATTTCAAAAAATGTCCATTTAAGTCTCAGACAACACATTTAAAAGAAATAAAAATTTCCATGGAAAAAAATTCCATCACAAGGACACTGAAATTCAAAAAGTTATACTAAATCAATAAATTACCTTAATATTCCTTCTTTGATATCATCTGAATTTCAATTATACCTATATCATAAATTGCGATATAAATGCACAAGGCTATAAGTCTTGCTAACTATCACATGCGCTGCGATGCAAAAATGAAAAGCGTAAATGCTCATCCTGTCGGCGAACTTTTACCTTCTATGGAAAAATCCTCTAGATTATCATTTCCAGGAAAAAACCTATCATGCAAAGCTTTAGAGACCTAAATACTATGGTAATAATGGTATCCCCCATAGTTCAATGTACTGCTGAAAGAAATCTTTACAGCAAATCATTGGAAATCAATGATAATACAAAACGCAACAAATGAAAACTCTTAGCTTTTGAAAACATCAGAGCATGGCATCGACTATGCTATAAGATATTTATATGATAATTATTTTTTATGCAAGCGACAATACATTTTGAATCCCGCAACCTTCAAAGCCACCAAGTCATGATTGCAATTTGTACAAATAAAAGCCATGAAAATCAAACACAGATAATTATGCAGGTATCAAATCTTTAAAAAAATTTATTAAGCAAATGATGAAAAAGTCTGCAGCATTGATAAAACTGATGAAATTAGAGAAAAAGGTAATCCCTAAAGTTCTACATACCAACTCCCACCATTAATTCCATTTAAATTTGTCAGAGACGCAGCAGCGTCCTTTTCATCATCATAAACCACAAATGTCATTAAAGAATATGTCTCTTGTAATATTTTTAATTAAACAATATATCAACTAGAAAATCCAAAAATCAGGGAATCGAGTAAGAAAATGCTGGTAGAGAAGATTGAAGTATGTTTGATATTCCAATATTTCCCCGTTTATACATATTGTATCAGCTTGCCGTTTATGGAAAATCAATGCAAACTCAACAGCTGCCTTGACAAAGTTTTCATTGACTAACACCCACCATTTTTTTCGTAATTAATCCAGCTCGAAAATCATGCATCTATTAAACAACGGTGATGTCATAATAGAAACCTTGATATTGACACTGCTTTAGTCTTCAGTTTTCATAAACGACTGGTGCAGAAAAATCTATTCAGACACTGGCAGTTATTGCAGTTGCAATGGTTAATGAACAACAATTACCAAGAGCATTTTTAAAGAAAATGAGCCACTACAGAAAAACTATTAATGACAATGCTAAGATAATTATCATTAAAACTGCTGACTTTCAAGCGCGACCACTGTATTTTTTTCTCCCTTAACTTTTTTTTATATATAAATGTGGCTTTATCATAATAAGGTTAATATATTTTGATGAAATGAACATTTTATTAATTTCTTAATATAATTTATTTTCAATGTATACATACATATTCACATAAAAATCTGTCTGAGAAAAATCAATTTTTGTCAGCATCAGTGAGTCCAAGTGTATGATAAATCCACATACTTGCTTTATTATCATTATTATTCCTTTAAAATTATATACTACCCCACTATCAAAACCTTCCTGCTTTCCATGAAAACCAAATCAAATGTAAAGTTATAGAATAAAAAGTATTAGTAAAGATGACATTTCATACCAACCCAGTTCAAGTGATATTTAATTCTTTATTTTACTATCATATTAACATATCGCCTTGCAAGATAGCATGTTATTCTGTCGAAACAACTGGTAAATTAACCACAATTACATGATTAAACAAAAATTTACATCTTTCTCTCTCATCTTGGTTTTTCTTCTGCGCTAATAGGTTGCATTAATACTTTAAAGAACACACGTATATTTTTTTTTGGTCGAAAAAGTTGTAAAACATCCTGTCATGATAAAGAAATCTTTCTGCCACAATTACATTAACAAATTTTTAGTAACATGTATTCCACATCGAAGAATGAGGGGGCAAAAAGCCGCTAAATGATTTCGATATATCACTGGGTAACAAGATTGTCAACCGGCTTAAAGAAAATAGTGCACATATTTGGTTAGATATCATATATCGTAAGATTTTATCAAATAATATTTGTATATGACCGATAAGAAATCTATGAAATGTATATCAATTGAAGGAAAAAGTTATCTAACTCAAGATCTCTTCACAAACATAATTGCCTTATTAGAATGAAATAGAAGAAAAATAACCCCGGGCTAATAGGTTGGGAACTTTAAAAATATCCTTTAAACCTCTTATTTTCATTTCCTTTACATTACAGATTAGTATCAGTAAATTAAATGACTAAAATAATATATCCTCTACTTCCAACACCAACAAACTGTTGAAAAAATCCTAAAAATCAAAACCCTTAAACAAAAAGTTTATTATTTGTTACATAAACAAAGTTAAATAAACAAAATGAAATCAGAAAATTTGATACTTTTCCTTTACTGAATTTTCAACTATGAGAATGCAGATATCAACATGAAATAATTTCAATCTGTTTTTTTATCCTGATTAATACCAAAACAAATGATATACATTTACTAATATTCCTATGTTATTAATTACTGTAGTTCAAAGTAGTTTTTTTTAATTCAACTCGATAAAAACTTTAATAAAAACTCATAATCTATGAAGACACATCAGCTTGCCTATTATCCAGCTCATCAATATAATGCTTGCATGAAAATATTTATATTTTCTTACGTGAAAAGTTTACTGACTCCTGTAATACAGTCATCTTTTTATTTAAACAAATATTTATAAAATCACCCACCTATCTCTATATGTTTAAAGTCCTCAACTCAGCACATTAAAATCGGATGAAAACAAATTTTGAAAGTCAATGCCCACCGCAGGTCAATAAAATCACTTTTACTACACTAATTCCATAATCCATCCTACGAAATCCTTATTGGCAAAATTTTGATAACTTGACACAATGTCCAGGGATTTTATTATTTAAATATTGAATGTCTAATCCTCCAAAAATCCCTGTATATCATACAAATTAAATAACATGAAAGCAAAGAACCTCAATCGTACAAACAAACTCTTCAGATCAAAGGCCTTGATTCAAATTGCATGTTATATTCCGGAAAAAATACCGCACTTGTAAATACTTTCCTATACAAACATTATTTAGTCAAAAATAGTACTTATAAACATGAAAATGACCTTATAAGGGGAAAAGAAAGAAAATACAATAAAATACGCTGTAATGTTAATTGTATACATTATCAAGACGGACGCAATAACGGAAAAGGATGTTATATTTAACGCATACGCACGTCTATTTCTAGCTAAATCCTCCATTGTCAACATTTATTATGATTAATAACATAATAATAACCTAAAAATAACACAATATATGAATCGAAGTGGACTTTAGGCAAAAACAACAGAAATTACGAGATAATAGTCATGTTCCTGTAGGTTTATTTAGTTGATAATGTGGCAATACTACTTCCTGTAATTGTTTCTTAGATTATTCTAACACTTTCTTATACGGCAAAGAGACTAGTCATGTTTTACGTCACATTTTTTTTTCTCAATAGAGCACCATAATGGAAACTGAAAGTTGTTTTGGAGTACATAAGAATGTGTTTTTTTTCACATTTGAGCACCATATGATATGAAAAAGTGAAAGTTTATTTCCAAACCTTTTTGTTTCCCTCCAAACAAAATCCTTCTCTGTTGTTTATGATAAAAAGTACATCATTCTCTACTGACCAACTGTTGCAACACTAACAAATAATCCTTTATAAAGTCACTTATACTAACTTCACACCAACAACAGAGGAGGTTTTAACATAAAGAAATCTTTTACTATATGTACTTAATGCCTTAAAACCAACCACTGGCAGCTACAGTGACATAGTGGACGCACGGGCATTTAATGGGAAAACAAAACAATGTAGAACTATTTTCATTCAAAAGGTTTCAGTTACCCGTGAACCAAGTGATAAATCGGAAGATTGACCCGGTTTTAGGTGCGTATAGATCAGAAAACACCTCAAACCCCTTCCTTAAACATGGGCCGCATTGTCAGGTATGGCAATTAGCAAGAAAACATTTACCAATCCTTGTAAGTCAAGGTGTTTTGCATGACCTTCTGTAATTATTTAAACGATATGTAATAATTATACTTTAGATGTTCAGTATTCATTAAAGACTTTACCCATGTATCAGATTTCAAAACACGCTATTTGTCACTGTCACCCATTTAAGGCACAGTAAGTATATAAGGTACTTCATAAGGGAGGTCTTACAGAAATGCTTAAATTATGTTAAATACAAAATGAATACAGCAATGTTTTGCTTATGGCTTAAATTGCACCAATTTAATCTATAAAATTGACCTACATTGGACCAGTAGCTGTTACAAACAAACTTTAATAAGCTATTTATAGTTAAATGCATTAAACTTTAATTACAGAAAAAATAATGTCAAAGGTAAAACTGCCATTCAGTAACACAGAAAGCATAAAATTTATTGTGTGACTTGACGTGCAAACTGCCAATGATTTTTAGTAGGATTTCAGACAAGTGGCAATGGCTGACAAAAACTGTTTGACTGGAGGGATGCACTGGTTGGCCAAGGTCTAGTGGCATGGATGCTAAATTGCTTTACAAATAACAATGATATCAAGTGACTTACCCTCATAAAGTTGAGCATACTGCGGGAATCCAGTCTCACGAAGCCATCTACAGGCCTCTATTGCTTCAATTTCTGAAATTATACAAGGAAATAAATCATTATAATGAGTCACATTGCAACAATTATGAGTTACCTATATTCTTTTAATATACATAAATACATGGTCTCATTAGTTAAACACATGTAAAAATATCAAAAAAATACCTGCAATATTAAGAGGTACCGGTATATTAATTGTACAATAGCGCTCACTAAGGGGAACCAATCTAAATGTTAAGAAACCAATATTACAAGCCTGTTTCTTTGAAAGAATTGTTATTCAAATCTTATTTTATTTTATCAAAAACAATCTATCCCTTTCTTCTTTCTTCAACTAATGACACATAGCATTATTTAAGATATATGATTAACATGGATTTTCATAAGGGAAACCAATATACGTAAGTTTCAAATGACTGAGATCAGCTTCCTCGTTAAAAGTACATGATGCTTATCACATAGAAACAATTATATTACTCATTATTTTATTGGCTCTTAAAAGAGACTTTAGTAGATAATTGTTTTTTTAATCTATTTTGGTCTAATCTTGCATCATTTCTTTCTATGTATTATATATTTGTTCAAGAGTTTTCCTAGGTTTAATCATTATGTAATGGAATGTGCAAATGTTGCAACAAGAAAGATATTTTAAGTTTCATAGTCTTGTTATTCGTGGTTTATTTTGCAATAAAACACATCATCATTTGCTGTGAAAATTACATTCATCATTCGTATATATATATAGATGCTAGAAACACATTATTTAATGACCATGAAAACAAATGAAGTGTCTTTTTAATTAATGCAGGATAAAAACTTGAAATCCATCCAAATAAACCTTCGATAAACTTTACAGAGATTATAATTTTTTATATATCTATTGAATGGTAACTTAAAACTGTGGTATATACAGTTTAAATACAGTATATAATAATATTTATTTGCTAAATCGGGTTTAACCTTCCCGAACAATTTTCAAACGCAGGTAGCGTATATTACCATTAAAGTAAACATATTTATACAGATTTAAGTTGATGTACTTTGGTTATGATATGATATATGTATGCGACACACCCTGATATCAAATACTGATATGTCAATTAAAATTTCATTATCTGGTGTCAAATTGTGAAGATGTGTACATCATTTATCAATTAAAGTATTGTCTTTACAACTGTTTAAGGTATATAGGAATCACTTGTTTACATTCAAATACACTCATATCATACATACCACACAAACAATTAGACACGTTCCACGTTAATTGTCACAATTAGTCAATAAAGTTCTTAACACAAGACAAAAATTGACACTACTTTATAGATAGGAAACATTTTACAATAGCAAATTCAATGAGTGCTTTAATTTGCAGCCAAACTATTTCAATTAAATTCCATTTTTTTTTTAATTTGAATTACCTCCCTTTATAATGCAAATAATTATTCAAAATATTTCTTTCTGGCCTGGTATCTCACTATAATCAGTGTATTTGATTGAATTTAATACTATTTATCAACATATGACTAACATTACCTTAGTCATTTTAAGAAATTATGATAGTTTATGATTATTTTATCTTCAAGTTTGTAAGCAAAGAACAGCCAAAAGGTCAGCACTATGAGATAAAATTGTAACTTTTTCCCAATTTACATGACTGCTTAAAATTTTAGGCCAAAGTAGGTCTCCAATAAGTACTGATAGCGTTCTTCGTTTTTCGATCAAACTTTCATTTTGTTGCCATGTTCCGATACTCGAGAAAGATAAACAATTCACTAATATGTCAAGTTGAAATCTGGTCAAGTTTACCAAACAATCGATTACAAATATGTTTACAAACTGACTCAGATGATCACATTGTAAAAGCTTCAAAGTGAAACGGTTACAAATTTTTAAATTAACTCAGTGACGCTGGTATTTCACCAACTGGACATACAGTATCAAGGGTATGCAACTGTTTTAGCAAAAGCCATTCCCAGTAATTATGGTTAGTTTTAAATTGAACTCTACAGACTATTTTCAAGAACTAAGCTTTCATCTTCATACAGTTTTAAAATGCTCTAAATATTTAACATTTCCTTAATGATAATAAAAGAAGTGATAGAGCATTCTTTTTTTCATTTCAATTTTTTTTGCAATTCTTTGAAGATAACCTATTATCTTGACCAAATGAACTAGTTGGTTCGTCATCACTGCAATGGAAGACCTATCTGCACTGATCAACGTTGTCTGAGAGGTTTCTATACATAGTTAACTTTATCTAATTTTACATTTTATAAAAAAAACCAATTTTAAATTCAAAACAGGGCAAGATGATTCTTATTAAAATGTAATTTTATAGCTTTAAGTTATGATTATCACCTGAAAAAAGGGAGTTTTAAAAGTACACACATATACTGTTGCTTCCTCTATCAGGGAAGAACTTCCATTATAGACATTAGCGAGCTTTAGAATGTTTTTATCCCTGTCTGCTACTGAAGATCAGTTTGTCCTTTTCTTTGCTTAATTAGTTGTAATATGCTATTTGACATTTAAAAGTAAGACACTTTCATTAGTTTGACAATAAAACACCATGTTGTTCTTAGGATAAAATATTATCAGGCAAAATTTCATTTAGTTAGCAAAAATTGTGTTGTTTTTATCGTGATAAATGAGCCGCGTCATGACAAAACCAACATAATGCGTTTGCGACCAGCATGGATCCAGACCAGCCTGCTCATCCGCGCAGTCTGATCAGGATCCATGCTGTTCGCTATCAGTTTCTCTACTTGTTATAGGGTTTGTAAGTGAACAGCATGGATCCTGATCAGGCTACGTGGATGCGCAGGCTGGTCTGGATCCATGCTGGTCGCAAACCCATTATGTTGGTTTTGTCATGACGCAGCTCAAATCGTATTTCTAGTGTCATACGTGTGGGTGTTAATTTGTCGGCATTAGCGGCTAATATTGTTTTTACATTAGGAAATATGACAAACAGAAGCTCTCCTGAGGCGATCGGGAATCATTGTCATCAGAGGGATGCTCATCATAGTCATATAGAGGCATCACAGCAAATCAGGTCAAGTGAGAGGCGTTAATACAGAAAATTCCTCTAATTCTAGCGTTTCTTTTTGAGCTAGGTTAAATATGGATTAGTGACAAACTTTCAAAATGATTAAAGTGATAGCCGATTTTTGTTTGTTTGTTGAGGATTTGAGCTGAATTAAGGTGTACTATATACAGGCAAGGCAATATCGCAGGTGTTAAAGATTATCAAAATAAAGGGGTATATAACAGTAAGAGATTTGAAAATATATACCAAGATAAAAGAAACACTTCAAATGTATAAAAAATACATAGATACAAAGAATGTTACTGCAATATATTATTAAGCATGTCAAATCCTTTAGAAATGTTTCACTGTAGGTAAAACTGCATAATATTATAAACATACAATATACTGATTTTAATATAGTATTTTAGATAGTCCCAATTTTGGCAATTCTATCATATTATTAAAAGACATATATTCCATTATTTGATTATACCTATATCTAATTACACATTAATTAATTTAAATCCCCTTATATCTTGTTAGAGGATATTCAAATTTTATTCTATAAATACAGGATTTTTCATCAAGTGGTATGATAATAAATATTTTATTAGTGGCACTGTGGCTTAAATTTTATATAGTGGCAGAACTTAAGAAAAAGACGGCCGGCAAGACACCAGTGAAAATATGGAAAATATGTTTAACTGCAGTGAAAAATTAATTTTTACAGGAAAACTTCAGAAAATGAAAATACAAATTATATATTATCAATATTTCTCAACATTTCTTTTATAAGTACATAATAAATAAATTTTATCTCTAGCTCTATATGAAAATCTCACCTTTTGAAATTTTCTTTTTGCGACCATTGTTTTTTTTAGGATTCCTCACACAGAGGGCCAGTAATGCTTGATGTATATCCATAATAAATACCTCAAGTTGCGCTACACGATTCATTCCAAATTTTCGTTAATTTCTACATAAATGTAGTCCAAGAAATAATGTTTCATGAATGTTCATTCATCAATTTAGAACCACACAAACTTATCAAATAGTTTTGTCATTATATATATACATATACTTCAATCCATTCAGAAATAAATGCGATAAGAATTATCTCGTTTTCTAAAAATGTAAATATCACATCTCCGTTTAAAGCAAACTGTTATGCCTGCAATTATAAGCAAGAAATTTAATAATAAAGAACCTGTTTATCCTACAGAATATTCCGTTCCATCACCAACGATGACCGATAATTGTTTGCATTAAAACAAGTCCAAAACCAGTCAATATAAAGCGTGCACTGCCTTTCGTTAAGTACAAGATAAGAAAAAGAATGTTACAATTCGGTGATCTACTTTGCCTTATATTTAAACAAGCAAAGGAGAATTTAGATATCCTCTGAAATAACGAGGATTAAAATAAATCCCGAAATGCTCCAACTGTAATCCTAAATATTATGATAGCGTCTTTGATATTTCATGACCTGAAACTGTCCTTTAAGAATTAAGTAACAATTTTTACAATTTTAACGCTACCTTTCAATATTAAAATTTCAAGTGTAGGATCTCACGTAACACATTTTTATATACTGCTAAAGGTGTTTTTGACATTTTGCTTATTCATGTCAACATATTGTTGTAAAAGCTGCTAACTTTTAATTTTGTTTTCATTACTTAAATTTTGATCTATGTTTAACATAGACTAAAGGTCAGTACCGAAACACATTATGCAATAAAATAGCAAAACCTCTTTCAAAAAAAATACTGCCACATTACCTTTCAATACAAAAATTTATTCAACCATAATTCCTTTTTCAGATAAAAATGCAATTAACAAATTAAAACAATAAAATTCCCAAGAAAATGCCACGATTCCAGACGAAACTTGTTACTCGCAGAATGATCAATCTTCCTTTAAGAGCTTGTCCTGCAACTTGCAAGCCTCTTGTTAACCATGAGTCACCTGTAGCACTGTTTTAATTCAAAGTATTGCTCAATAG